TGATAGGACGGGTCCCTAAATACCGGGTCCTCGTGTCAGACAAATCGCCGGTCACTTCGTCGAGAACTGTCCTCAAATGCACACCATTTTGAAGGCCAACATTCAGGTAAAGACGTCCTGAGCTTTTAGATTCGCTCTTCGATCCCATTTCAACGATACATAAAGACTCCGGAGTTGCCGGCAGTGCTTGCATTGAGAGGGGAGACAGACATTCCTAAAGGCAAACATTAATACAAAAATAGATTAGAAAACTATAACAGAATATTCAGTGCATAACACTGTATAAAATTACTGTATTAATTTAAAATCTATAGTATTTATCAGATAAGGAAAGTTCAACACAATTTTCAGTTGAAACACGGACTTCACAATAATCATCATAAGGTCTATTAATTACCATTAAATCAATTATATGGCAATAAAAATATACAAACCGATGGGTCGAGTGATATGATGCGAACGGTGTTATCCGAGAGACCGACGGCCAAAAACCTGGAGCGCTGTTCACCGGCCGGCACTTCTCCCAAACCCATACAAATCACATCACAATTCATGTCTTTCCTGTCGGTGTATTCATTCAACTGTCCGCTGATATCCATTTCAAAGTACACAATCTCACCGCCGGTTAAAGCAATCACAACCTGTCGGTGATTTATAGCACACTTTGAGATATGCTTTTTCCCGGGAGTTCGCCATTCATTCACTCGTTTATCAGCTCTGATATGACGAATACCGTCCGGATATATCTGGACGAGAGCGTCGTCCCCGATCTGCGCGCACGACAGCGTTGGAGTGGTTCCCAAAAAACCGGAGTCTGTTATCTCCTCAACGGTCTCTCCAATAGATAAGACAAGTGTTGCGTTAATAAACGAGACGACAATATAAGAGTCGAACTCTTCGTCAGCCCTTCTCTTGACAGTCCAAACAGCGTTAGGACTTCCCGGTAGTTCAGACACAGCCATCTCAGACACCTCTAAGCCGTGCCTCAAAACTCTTAGTGTAGATCGCGGACCCCTTCCACAGGCGACTAACACTTGAGGGGTGTCTTCATTAGCCACGTCTGCAATCTGACAGTGCATTATAGGCGACAGAGACTCCAATTCGTCCACTAAAACCAAGTTCTTGAGCGGACGCGGAGAGAACCAGAAGGTCTCGCCCTCTCCTAAAGGCATAGAACTGCTGAACTCAGGCTCGTCGTCGTCATCGCCTAAGTGTGCGATTTGGTAGAGATAGTGATTCCCAAACTCTGAGCCAACGAATAGAAATCCGGTCTTAAGGACGCAGAGGTTGGCGGCGACGGGAACCGTATCGAAGTACTTGAGCTTAATCTCAGTGACCATGTCGTCCTCGATCTCAAGGGTCAGCTTAAAGACGTCTCCCTGTTCTGTCTGCACGAGGAAAAAGAACATCGATTTGGTCTTATGAGTGGCCGAACACACGAATATCATCCCTCTCTCGGGATCGTCCAAATCGTTGCGTCGTCGAGGTATCGGACATCGAATGTCCGGTTGGTCTCCAAAGTTCTTGTAAGTGACATAATTCTCGGAACAGATGAGAACACCAGAAGGGCCTTCAGTACCGCCGGGAACAGTGATTAAGAAGTTTGCGTGTTCTTCAAGAGGTTCACTGTATTTGCGGACCACATGATTGAGACCCAAATCTAATTCATAGAAAGTCAGTGTTTGTTGCGTCAGTTGTGCCGCTTCTCCGGTTGGGTCGGTGTCCGCCTCTTCGTAATCCATCTCAAGACAGGCAAACATCGGGTTCTCAAAGCCCACATCAATGCCAACCGTATGAAACACAAAAGTGTTGGATTTGTGGGCCTCTAATGGTGAAGATATGGTTAGCCGAGCGCTTGCATCGCGATTCAGAATGTAAACCAATTTTTGCTTCTCAACAGCACCTATACGTTACAAATGGTTAGTCATTATGTAATTATATTTGGCTTCAAAAATATTTCTAATAATAAGCTAACAATTGAATCGATCAGTACTTCTTAGAGGAATTTTATTCATCATTAGAGTTATGATGAGAACAATAATTACATCATTTCGATAGAACCGGTCGTTTATACCATAATATACTCATAAAGATATGAATAATTCAACGAAACTTACTTATCATAACAGCCCGTCCTTTGGGATCAGTAGCCAAGAACTGTCCGGGAACTATACGACGACAACCACTCTTGCCAAAGGTCTCCTGATGCACCTGTAGTCACACCAATCAATACAACTGTTAGACATTCACTAAATACATGTTTATTGCACTAAATTATAGCATAAATCAGATATAAATTGAGGTAAATTTGGTTATGATATCCACACGAATATTCAGTGGACAGACAGGTTTGTTCATCAGTTAAAT